AAAGTTTGCTTATAATAACACGATACATTCTTCTATGAAACAAACACCTTTCTTTATCAATTGTAGTTATTATCCATGATTTGATACGTTTGACTTTTTAAAAGTTGATAATCCTGCGACGAAAGATTTAGCAAATCATTTGTCAGAGCTACATGCAACAATGAAGGCATAATAAAAAAAAGCTCAAGAATTACAAAAAATCAATGCGGATGTCTATTGAAAGAAAAAACCACCATTCCACATGAGTGATAAGGTATGGTTACTTTGTCAAAATATCAAGTCTACTCGTCCTTGTGGCAAGTTGGATTATTGAAGGCTTGAACCATTTTCTATTTTTATACAAATCAATCCAATTGCATGTCATTTATATCTACCAAAATCAATAAAAATCCATCCAATATTCCACATATCTCTTTTTGAACCATACAAGAAAATGGACATATCAAAAAGAAGACAAGCCCCACCTCCTCCTATAAAAGTGGATAATAATGAAGAGTTCGAAGTGGAAGAAGTCTTCGATTCAAACCATTGCAAAAATAAATTAGAATGCCTTGTTTCATTGTTATAGATATGATATTAGTGAATGCAAATAGGAGCCAAGAAAGAATCTTACAAATGCAGCAAAGATAGTGGAGGCTTTTTATTGACAACATCGATCAAAATCAAGATTAAAACCTTGTTTATAAAAGAAACAACATCTAGGCAAGATAACATTCTACTTTCAATCCTTGTTTGTAGCTTCTTTATAGTTGTCATACTGAAGAGATGAAGAATCAACAATCAACAAATTCGACTAAAAAACCTTCATTTGTTGACCTGCCAGATGACACATTGTTATTGTCTCAACCTTCAAGATGCACAATCCAGATAAAGATCCCTAAGAATGACATGTTTTTCCTTCAATAGATGGTGAGATACAATGCATTTGGTATAACGACCTTGGAAGAGAATCCTTATATTTGATATATTTATTAAAGGTAATAACAACTCTTGATGATGTTTCAAATATTTTAATTGAAAGAAGTTATGAAGGCCTCAACATCAATCAAAAAATAGTATCGTCTTCTTACCATGGTATAGAACACTATCGATGGTTGAGAGGCCCTATCAACCATCTTTAAAGAGAACAAAGATCAGAGTATATAGCAAATACAACTCGTCACATCATAGATTTTCTTAACATATGATAACCGTTCTTTGTGAAACTCGTATCTAGAAAAGGGGATATATCAAAGACATACACATGTAAGCTAGATATATAGGTGAATTTTATAGATTTGTATACACACTTGTATAATATATATGACTCAAAGTTTATCTTAGTTATTATGCATTGATATCAAATGACGGTCATGACTTATTCAAATTTAATTGGCAAGTTGTTTGAGATTTAAAATCCTTATTAATCCTTAATAATCTATTATTTTGGATCTTTACTATAAAAGAATTTCAATAACATTTGATTTATTTGACTATCTCAAATTTATAGAGGACATTGAAAACAATTAGATTTATGATCATACAAATTTTTATTTGACAATTTTCTACAATGATTTAAGTCCAAGTCATTATAGCCATAATGTGGAATTTTCATTATTAAACTATAGCCACTAATCTCAACTCTATTCTTTGTTAAGGAATACTCCAACCTCCACAACCTACTCTCAAAGGCTCCATCAAGATTTGAATTCAGATTTTTGGATTCAAAGTCTAAAGTTGTAATTGTAAAATCTCTGTCGAGATTAAAAACAAGCTCTAAAGTATATTACAAAAGTGCCTTGGCAGTTGTAGTTTAACTATTGTTTATTGTAGATATGTGCCATTCTTAGATTTTTAGATCCATTATATGTTTGTCTTTATTAATTTTAGTCACTATCAATGTACTTATAATGATTGAATGTAAACTCACCTTATTTTCTATTATTATCCTTACACTATATATGTATATGTTGTCATCTTCGATATTTTGGTCCTAGATTAAAATATTGACGTTTATCTACTATTCATCTTAAAAAGCTATTGCCATGTAAATGTCGACTTGTTTTTGTATAAATATCTAAGACAATGATGTTACCTTCAAACAAGAGTTGCATTGAGTTGAGTATATTAGATAGATGAGATTGACTGATCTATATGGCACTGCATCAAACCATCTTTGTCTATCTTCATTAATTTGTTATTGGCATTGAGTTGTTCGGAGTGAGTCTAGAGGTTGTTTTTAGTCATTTGTATTCTATCTTAGTTAGAATCTCTTTGATCTCTCTTTCCATTTGTTCTTCATTAATTCATGATTTATATGTACTTCTATATATTTTAGTAATATGGACAACTTTTAGGCTTAAATTACATAAGACAATGTACTTATTCTATAGAGCATGTGATCATTGCTAGAAAATATGGAACATGGCTGAAATAAGCCTTACACCACTTGTGACAATATGGTATGCAAAACTATTTATAAAACTTGTAATTGACTTTATTAGACTCAATAAATTAGAAATGTGTTGTATAAACAATTAATATATATATATGTATATATATATATATATATATATATATTGGTAGCCACAAAATATACTATTGAACAGGTTAAAAACAAATGCAATAAAAACAACACACATTAATAGTTGTTGCTTGCATCTTGTACAAGCACATATTTAATTTGGATATAATTTCCTTTCAGTGAGTAATCAAGGTACTTTTTTCATGAATAAAGTTTTTGATTCATGTAGAGAACTTTAAGTTGTTTTGATTTTTCAAATTGGGTTCAACTACCATTTAAAAAATAAAATAAAATAAAAATAAGAAAAGAATCTAAGTACCAAATCTGGTTCAGTAAAAGTCAGAAGACAATGAATAGGCTTGGGATTTGTTGGTAAAAAATATAATAACTTTCTTGTTAAAGAAAGGAAAGGAAGCAGTGTATAGCATTTGGATATAATAATAATAATAATAAAAATAATAATGTATGAGAACAATTGATATCTTTGCAGGGCTTGGGAGGGAAGGTTTATGGTGGAGCCCATCATCCAGTTTGTCCAAAAACTTGGTGCATGGGGAATCACATTATGTCTCATTCCTGAGTAATAGAGTCACTGAAATTACAATGAAAGGTGGATAGGGCATTGGGTGGATGGAAGAGGGTGTGGGGAAGTGGGAGAAGCGTGAAAGTCTTCGAGACTCCATGTGGGGGGTGGGAGTGTCGAAGTGCAAGACCTTTCGGGTTGATGACCGAAAGGAGAGTCCAAACGGGAGTGTGGAGAGAGGATCAGATAGAAACAGAGAAAAGAAGAGGTTTGGAGAGAGTAAAAGTTGGAGGTGGGGGAGTGTGTTAAGTGTGGCTGCTGGGATTCGAGCCCAGGTCTCCACGGCCACAACGTGGAATTCTCACCACTAAACTACAGCCACTGCGTCCCCTCAATCTAGATCTTCGTGAGTGTCCCCACGCAACCTCCTCACCCTACCCCCGGAGGCCCCACCGAGATTCGAACTCGGGTTTTTGGATTCAAAGTCCAAAGTCGTAACCACTGGACTATGGAGCCGCGGATTCGGGCCTTCATGCCTGCTCTCACGTGGCTCATTCCAACCATACCCACAACCACCCCCATCTGTTACACCGCCCCACCCAGTTCCCTTGTCGCTCTCATTACCATCTCGCTCATCACCCCCATCGCTCATTACGATCTCATTACGATCTCATTACGATCTCATTACCGCGTGTGTTGCCTCCCAACTCCACTGCTCCTCTTCACAACCTCATCTGTTTCATGCTGCCAACATTGCTTTCTGCTTCAATCCCTTTCACCACCCAACCATACTTACGCCACGCATCCCTTTCACCACCCAACCATACTTACGCCACGCATCCCTTTCACCACTTTCTCACGTGCTCTCACGTCTCGCTCCACACCAATCCCCGCCCACCTATTCCTCAAATTCGCCGCACCTTCCTACCATGCATCCACGGAACCCTTCCTGAAGTGATCTCGTTCATAATCGTAACGGAACCTCGCATTCATAACTTGTTGCTACGGCCATTTTCCCCCATTTACCGATCATTATTATAAAGCGTTGACATGCATTAATATAATGCTTCATTCGAATATTCTGTGAAGATACGAGTCCTGATAAGTTGGTGGTTTAGGGTACATGAGAAATGAGGGTTGATGGCAAATTTAGGGTACATGAGAAATGAGGGTTGATGGCAAATTTAGGGTACATGAGAAATGAGGGTTGATGGCAAATTATGTTCATTTACACACCTTAAGATTGTAATCGTTTTAGCGGAAAATATAGAAAATAGAAGTTTCTGAAGGACATTTCAAGTAATGATTATCAGCTATGGAGTTGAGCTTGGGAAAGTATTGTTCAAATTTCAAGTAAAAATAGGATAACAGATACCCTGCACACACCAGATTCACACAATTTAATCCGACGCGCACAATGAAGCATGTTCTACATGAGATCTATGAATATAAATTCCTGATTATTGCATGAGGTTATAGAAATATTTCTTGTGTAAGTAAACATATTAAGGATCGCTCTGTATCGGAGAAGACTGGACGTTCTTCCGTAACAAGATCCTGTCTCCACTATTAATTCTACAATGTTGATTAAGGCACCACCGAATATACATATAATTAGACGAAAGGACTGCCGGAAGTTAGGACTCCTATTTAAGTGACTGCCCAGAAGGCTCGTGCCATATTCGGAAAATTGAGGATTGGTAACAGGCTCAGTAACAGACGCCAAAAAAGAAAATGCAGAACCAAGAAGATAATACCATGACATGTAAATCCAGTTCAGTGGCTCCACAATGCATGTTGCTAAAAACGTGTGTCTGTTCACATGATATGTTGTAGGGTTCTATTTATAACTCATTTTTGAATCAAGGTGACCTATGAATTCGTGATTCGATTAAGGCACTAACTTACGTCATTGAATTAAGAGCATCGGGTATGTTGCCGCATGTGGAATTCATGAAGAATAAACAAGGGAGATAAAAGAAGGGCATACTGTACCAATTTTTTTTAAATTAAAAATTAAATTACATTGACGTCATTGAATCTGAATTCACTAGCAAACAAGTACTACAAAACAGAAAAACCTTATTTCCGTTCCTTAAGTCGCTGTTCCCAGTCCTTAGCCTCGTAGTCTTGCGTCGATATATCTGTCTCTGTAGAATAGATGATACGATCGCGTCCTAGCACAGTCCGCTTAGCAGAATCTCTCGCACTTTTCAGCTGTAAGACAATAAAATAAAGTAACACATAAGCATCGCACCGTGCACAATGTTCTTATCATCAGCAACAAAATGAGCAAGACATTGAGACTATTCATAGACGTAATCATTAACAGAAAACAAAGATGAAAAAACTTACTCATCAGTTCAATAAAACAAAGAGCAGCAACTATGTCTAGTAGATTACCTTCTGACGAAGCTCAGCACCTGCCCTATCCAAGGCAGCCAACCAACCCAATCTAGCGTTGTTTCGTTGCTCTATCTGGGCATTACGTCTCTGCAGTAGGAACCACCTAAATGCCGGGATTGCAAAGAAAGACGCCGTGTACGCCTGCAACCAAAAACCAATACCCGGAATGCAAGCAAATTACTAAGGTGAAAGATGAGTGACATTTCCGGTGTTCACAAGTATGATGCCACAATCAACAGTACAAAAAGAAACCTAACTAAGCTGCACAACTAAGATTTCACTCATCAGTTCAGTCTATTACTATTCCAAACGACTTAAGAGCATGTGGTTTGACCATGTTTGGTAACGAACCTGTAAAAAGGGTAGAGCTTTGAAAGCAAATGGAATCAAGCCACTTCCACGAAAAGATTGAATAAAAGAGTAGTCACTGAAAAAAGAGCACAAAGTATGTTGAGAACGCTAAAACCACGTCACTGAAGAGAAATTAAATGTTCAAGACAAAAATGAAAACTCGAAAGTCACGGTTGATGCATGTAGCTGCTTTGAATCTGAAATTCAAATCAAGAAAGTGTTTCAGACCTACACTTCGAGAAAGCTATCAGATATCTATCACCATGACAAGACCTACATTGGGTCCACCACATTGGAGTAGGATATAGAGGCAAGGTGGAGCTATTACCGGAGCATACTGCTTAAAATAACAACACCGGCAAGGTTGAGGCATCCCAGCCCGATTACTAAAGCCTGTTCCACCTTTCTTGCTTTGCTGGACATGAAAAACGGGCAGGTTCATAAGAATATTCATATCTTCAATGCAAAATATAGACATCAGCAATTACAACATAATTAAATAAAATTCAGATCAAAACAGAAGGGTGCAATCGACAAAGCATTTGAAATGATCTAGAGTTCCATAACAACATAACTTCTTCTACCAGCACGACTGTCACACAGTATCCAACATCCGTATTTATAGAGCTACACCCACCTAAAAGCCCATTGGTTTTCCTGGAAGTAATATAGGTCTGAGCCTCCTTTTGGTGCCTCCTTTCTCCGACCAAGCCAGTCTACTGCTGTTCGCTGCAGTGAGGGGAACCGATAAAGGATGTTTCCCTAAATAGCAATCCACGATGACAGTAAATCCCACGTTCATTAAGGATTACTGGTGATGTGAACAACCAGTAAATACTTTCAGCATTCTTATTATGCGGAGCTCTTACGAGCTTCTTTCAACTACACAACTAACTACAAGTGTCTTCCAGAAAACCAGACTACCTACTGCAAGTTTGAAAGGCTATCTGAGAGCTTAACAGGACACTTCGCATGAAAAACATAATGTATGCAAGGTTTGCGATAAATTTGCCTACCTGTTCATCAACTTCGGGATGACCATCAAAACGAAGCAAAACGGGCAATACATATGATTCGTCTCCCTGTATTACACTGTAATCATCAGTAAAATGAACGTAATGACAAAGGCCACCAATTCATACTACGTTGGCAAGTTTAGGGTGAAGAAAGAGTACGGCTGCCAACACTAATCCCAGATACACAGGATTCGGAAAGTGGCTTACCTTTGTCTCCTCACTGTATGGTGGTACATCCAAGAATGGAGCAAGTTCTTCAGCTGAAACTACGCCTCCTTTGCTGGTTATTGTATCTCCAATCTGACCGTTGTTATCAACAATAATTGACTCACATATTAGTTCAGCGCTTCCCAACGCAAAAATCAATACGGATTCGTTGACTAAGCCGCCAGGTCACTAGAAGTAATTAACCAGTATGTCCGTTGTAAAGCATGGAACTAAAGGCTTAACTTAAGTGTCTATTTCAAAGTTACGCAACAAATACCCAGGTTAGCACACAAGGGATTTTACAACCAGCGGGAAAATGAAGAGAGGTGGCCAAAAATATAATTCCTGCGAATGAGGCAGAGAAAAAATTATCAGGAAAAACTTACCGCTCTCCATCGAACTTCCTCAAGGCCTTCATTTGGATCACCATCCCCAAATACAAAAGAAAACACCTACAGGGGCATTTCCAATCATCGATTCAGTTGTGCTACTCATGAAGGTTGACAAAGAAGTTCGCACATACCTTCAGAAAGATCAGAAAAATGGAGGAACAACCTTAAATATTGCTCAAAAAAATTCTAAGAGTTGTACTCGTAATGATTGCTATGCAAAGAGCTGCTTTTCCAAAGGAAGAGCACTTCTTGCGTATCGACATATTGGTGTTCTTCCCAACACTCAAACATTCTGCTCAACAGAAAAGTATCGTTGTGTTCACTTACATTCTCAAAAAAATTCATGCCACCACCCCGTTTGGAAGGTCTCCTGCTTCTGTAATAATTTGGGTTCCAATACCTGTTCAAAAGCACCAGAGTTTTAGAAAAAGGTATAAAAAAATGTTGAAGGGAAATTCAGTAAGAATTACTCTATCTGAAAAGAGAAATGGCATCTCTATGTCTTTGATTGTATTTCCTGATTTCGAGGTAACTTACCAGAATAGATCAGCGGGACTGATATACATAGAGAACCCTGGATTGTTGTACCGTTGATTTTGATAACCACCTCGATTACCTCGATTGTCATCGTCACTGCATAAATTTTCCATGCGGTAAGTCAAATAACCACGCCAACCTAACTAGGAGACCCTAAATCCAAAACAAAACGCAAGAATTTGCAACATGCTACTTCTACAAATTGAGATGTGAAAAACCCAATTTAATGTTTCAGACCATATCCTAGCTGAACTGGACATCCATAAAATCTGCTGGCTGCTATCACGCACCTTCTGCCAGAAGAGAGAATGACAAGTATCGTACTGTAAACAATGACAATCGATGCAAGCAGAGCAGTTCCAAAAGAAACTCGAATCGCATATTCTGCTAAAGCCTACAAAGTCGAAAGAACATTAGCAGGTGAGAAGCAAAATGCTCTGTTATATATAACACGCAGTACGGTGAATAAACCGTTATTGCACAATGTCTCTACAACAGGCACCTGACCAAAATAAACCGAAACAGATTTTATAATGTTTCGGTACCCCGTCTTTTTACCGGAAGTAATCTATTAACTAAGGAAGCGTAGAATATGAACTGAAAAGGAGCAAAAGAAATTCTGTCAGATAGAATAACAAACTCACCTTGAGTTTTTCTAGTAGGGGTTCGTACTTCAATCTCAAAGACTTGCTAGTAAGATTAGCTCGATAGTCTTTGGGCAGTACGTACAGCACATCACCTTCATCTGAAACCTGTTGCCCAATAATTCCAAAAAAAACTTAGACTAATTGCTACAGCACTTCGGTAAAGAATATATTCTAGCTAATCTCATAACGAAAATAGGACGTGATTTGCAGCATGTAGACGTGGCAAACTCAGTAATGCAATGATGCGGGGCCTCTACAAAAAAGTTTTTGACGGGTCAATTGCATGTGCAACTAAAGTATCCAGCTGATCAGTACCTCTAAAAACCCTCCAGAGTCTGCTGCAAGGGCTTGTAATGCAGTTTCTGCTTGCGTGAGCTTCAACCCAGCACGCGACGCGACATCCCCTACTGTTACTCGCCTTCCAAGATCGTCTACTGCTTTCATGGTACTGTCTCGGACAAAAGGTGGTAGCGAGTCAATCTCGATAGATTTGGTCTTTAATTCTGGAGCGAAACTTCGTGCGTCATTGTCTTCGTTCTCAAATTGCTGAAGAGCAACCGGAACCTGTAACTTTTTCAAACTTTTCCTCCAGCCCTGCGGTAGAACTTGCCCTAGCTGCTTGCCTAGAATTTCACTCCTAGAAAAACCTGATAAGTATCGCGTGAAAAGACCTGGTAACCTAAACACAGCCTTCGTTTTGAGGTGAATCCGTTGCTTGTTTCCGTGTGCGCCTTTTAATCGAAACGTCGGTCCATAAGATCTCGATGTATTTCTGTACTGGTGAGTTGAAACAAAAGGAGACCCAGGATATCTTGTGGAATAAGAAGTGCTCCTGGACGAAAATGCGGTAATGGTGCTCGGTGCCGACGCTGGCCGCCAGTCTGAAACCGCAGCTGAATGCATTTTGCTTTTCAGACAAATTTGACAACAATGAGATTCTGTTAAATCAGGCAGTTAATTTCATGAGACATACTAAATCAAAATCCTTAATCAAATTACTCCAACCGAAAACACGAAATATTAGGAATCGCCAAGAAAAAAACATTAAAGCTTCAATATTCAATCTATCAGAAGGATGTTAATACGAATGCAACTGATCACCAGAACTAGAAATGGACACAACACGAGCCAGCTATAATTCGTGCTTCCAAAGAACATTGTAATTGGCATCGAGGACCAGAACCAGATAATAGGAAGCCGAAAACCCCAACATCACAACGACTCAAGCACAAATTACTGTTTCAGCTCCAAAATCCAAGAAAGATAATGTAAATAAAAAGCCACTACTTGACAGTGATCTGCCCAACCAACATATTGTTGCACCAACTCATAAAGAGGAAAACCCTTCAGTAGTTGATCAATTTTTTCCCATTCATTAAGATAAATCACAATTTGCCACCTGTGTATGCGACCAGAATCATGCACAAAAATTGCACGGAACGTCAAAGGTGTAGAGGACATTATAGCAATGGCTATGCAAAAGAATCTCACCAGTCAGACCTAACAATTCATTCCAAATTAGGGCTCTCAACGCTGAACTTCGCTTCACCAGTCAATTTTAAGAAGTGATACCTAACAAAACCACATAGACGACGAAACGACGACAAAGCCTTGGGTAGAGATGGATACGGAACAAACTCGCTCACAAACGCGCACATAATGAATTCTTCGCAAAATGGGCAAAGAACAGTAGAAATCCCTCAACCCAGCTATTCGATACTAGTGCCACGACCAACCGTCAAAATAGGAGAAACTTCAACTGCAACACACTGTGACGCAAACCATGATCCTGCTCTTTCAGCAACTCAACCCAGTTTAACCATGTGATTACTAAAAAAAACAGAGCCTGTAACAACAAATCAACAAAAAACCCATGTTTCAGCCCGAGACCACTTCTACCATATGCCAGAAGCTCAACAACCGACGCATAAAATTGGACACGACAGCGCGCTAACACCCTCAGCAAACAATCGTAAGTGATTGCATCCCAATCCAGAGCTTCCCAATACCCTCCTAAACATCCAATCCAAGCCCTATCCAACTCCAAATACAAATCCCCCGAATTCCCAAAACCTCATCCTAACTGGATAATTCAGCTCCATCACAACAATCCAATCCAATAAATAAATAAAATAAATTAAAAACACACACTACCTAAAAGGCGACATCCGAATGCAAATCCACTCAAGCCAGAGCTCAAATTCAACGCAGCTAAGGCGAAACCACGGCCAAGACGACGCAGACCCACGCTTACCTGCACCAGGGAATACCAGAATTGAGCGGTAAGCAGAAGCTTCAGCAGAACTAGAAGCACATTGCGGCGATTATCGACCAGAAGCAATAGGAGTAGAAGCGAATAATGGCGGCACCGCTTTGGAGCGCAGCAGGGCGAAGGAGCGCGGGGACGGCGAGAGGAAGAGCGAGTTAGAGAGTTAGAGTGAGTGAGTTAGAGAGGGTGTGGCTATGGCGTGGCCATGGCTTCGGGCCAAAAAGGAGCGCCACCAAGCAAGCAAACAAGCGCCGACGAGCTCTGTCCCTGCCTGCCTGGGCTTGGCTTGGTTTTGGCTTGGGCTTGGGCTCACCCCCTTCTCCTCCGCTTCCGAATCTCCCTGGCCCTTTCTTACCCCTGGTAAACCCTCCCTGTTATCCAGCTCGGACTTTTCTTACCTCAGGTGAATTTTATCAGTTACTGGTGGTGAAATTGGGAATTTCTCGTCGGGCAATTTGAGGTATACTTGGATTGATATTCTTAAAGTTCCTTGATTTTTATATTTAATCCAATTGTAATATGTTTTATATACAAATGTATGTATGTATGTATATATATATATATATATATATATGTGTGTGTGTGTGTGTGTGTGTGTAAGAATGCTAAATAAACCCAGGTTTTTACTAAATTGACCCACCTATCCTAATCATCACGGGAAAAAGAAAAAAGAAAACAAAAAACAAACTTCTACATTCATTTCTCCATTATTGGATCCAAAACCAATGAAAACCAACCACATTCATCATGATTACCATATTCTTCATTATGGATAGGTTGATTTAGTAAAACCCTAGGTCTATTTAACATTTTTTTTTCTCTCTCTCTATATATATATGTATTTTATTTTTGAGTTTTATTTTCTTTTATTTTTTTAATTAGGAGCCTAAATATAATAACATGTTTTCTGTTTTTCTACATGTAATTTGAATCCAATATTTTGGTAAATTGGTAAATTTTTATAATTTTTTTACTTTATACTTGATGAATTTTTTAGTGTGTTACACAGTCAAAAAATAATCAATTAAGAAAATAAAACAACAAACAAACAAACAAAAGCACGTTTAATAGCTTTATGTTGTTATTTTAGAATCTTAGAAAAAAAATATATCACTTCATTGGGTTTCAATTTTAATTTTGAGTGAAATTACCAAAAGTCAACTTTTACGAGTACTTGACTTCAATTAGGTATTATAAACATATTTTAAACGAGTATTAATATATCGTACTTTTTAAAAATACTTGAATTTTGCTTTAAGGCTTTAAGTGTCATAACATAGAAGTCTAAGTTTTATGATGATTTTGGAGTCAATAGTGTATGGATACTCAATTTGAATACTTGTAACTTTAGTTTTATTATTATATTTTAGGAAATGTTAAATTGAACCAAAAATTTATTAAATAAACCAATCCATTCTAACCATCATCAAAAAAGTTCCTCATTTGTATAGTAATTTAATCATTTAGATTATAATCATTATTATCTAAGATATATAGTCCAAATTAAATACTAATCTATGAAATTTGTGAAACTTCAAAAAAAAAACTGTTACACTTTCATTCATCTTAAAATATTTTTTTCCCTCACACATAAAATAAAAACAGAGACAAAACTATAAAACATTTTTAAATATAGTTTAATATTGTTTATTATTATTACTGTTGTTGTTAAAAAGTTAAAGTATTGAACCATTCATTTTATTTAAGTAAATAGTATAAATAGAAACAAAATATAATACCCTGATTAATTAAGTTGTAATTGATTTATTTGAAAAATGACTTGGTTTTCAAAACTTGTTACATGATGAAGTTTCAAAACACACTATGCTTGCAGAACAAGGAAGGTGGAATCTACCAAGAGAGAACGCAAGTGGATGAATGTAACTCATTCGTCGTCGTCCCGACATCCCACATCGATGAATGAAGTTATCCACGGTCTTGTCAAAAGATCCACAGCTCTGGTTCCGTGCACTTTCGAGCCGCTTGGCCCTAATTTGCAATGGCAAATTTTGCCGCCGGGAATGCGGCATCGTCGTGCTCCGAAAGCACCACGTCTCCGATTTGCAGTGGCCCCGCTGCCAGCTTCCTCGGCTGCAGCAGCAGCAACAACAACAACAGCGAATGCTGCTCAGTATCACTGCTCAGTTCGAAGCTCTCGCGGGGGTGAAGTCTCGACCCAGTTTCGGCACCGACCAGACGCAGCCCCGACCAGACGCAGCCCGGAGTGTTTCAGGTATCTGCAATCCCAGCAGCTTTCGTAAGCTTTAGAGAAGCTTCGGAGGTAGAGCGGGTGGAATCGAAACTGGGTTAGACATCTCAATCAATCTTAGGATCCACGTCGTGATTCTAGTGTCTGTGCGTTTTTTTTACAAGGATTTCGCTGGTTTGTGCAGCCAGAGAGGTTCCGAAGAGATGTAGTGCGTGCCCTCTTCTACGTGCATGACAACCTAGAATTCGGTTGAGCTATGTAGGAGAATCAGTCGCAGTGGGTACTCTCTGTGGAACTGTTCAATTTCAACCTCGCTTGTAATCGCAGAGAAAGTGTAAATATTGATCTTTTACGTCAAACTGCGACAGCATGAGCTGAGTGATCTCGTACTCTAGAGGTTCCCAATTCGTCCCACTATGTAACCTTTGACACACATTAGAATATCTGTGAGCCTTCGTATATTGTGATCCAATAAAAGTACATCTCATTGTTTCAGAGAATTGATCACTTGTTCACACTGGTTTGGGTTGCCGTTGTGATCCTAACTAAAAATTGTGCTCTTCTCGGCGCATCGTAGTCTGGCTAGCCTCAATCGTTGTGAAACTGCCCCCCTCCTATCAAACCATAAAATCAGGAAGTAAAAATGTAGCTCGGTGTTATATAGAGAGATCATTCATGGAGATGAGAAAACTAAAGCCACTAAAGTGGACGGAGGATGTTTGCATTTTACTCACCTTGTTCATTTGTAGAAAAGTATATGACCTTAAACCATTTATAAAACATTGTAATTAGATCATTTTTCTTCTAAAACATACTTTAAGGAATTTATTCTGTTTTTAAAATCATCTTTAAAAATATTATATTGTACATTTAAAATATTTTGGTTAACCATGATTTTTTCAATTCCATTCCAATTAGCTATAGCTATTAGCTATGGAAAGAGACTAGGCCTTACTATTGCTGGGAAAGAGTTTGTTTTGTAGAAGAGTGGTTTTATTTAATAGGGTGAAAATAAAAAAAGTATTATTTTTTTAGTTTTGTATCCAATATTTAAATGATGTGGTTTAGAATATGAAGGTGGTAATATGAATAATTTGGAAGTTTCAAAGTAATAAGATCTATAATAGGTTTTTGGTGCAATAAATACAATTGTGGTGGTGCTACAAAAGGGCAAAGAATTATAATTCTTCAATATTAAATTTGTAATAAATAAAATACATTAATAAAGTTGTATTGTAACATAACTTGTGTGTGAAAGAAAGAAGAAAAAATTAAATTATAAAAGACCTTATTTCAAAATATTTAAGCAAATTATTTTAAAAATATACATAATAATAAATGAGGTAGTAAAACTAATACATGTTAATACTATTTTTTTTTTATAAAATTGGCTTTTATTTATTTTATAGGGCCAAAATAAGATAAAATAAGATATCAATAATTAAATTATTAATTATTGAGGTTTTGAATCTATTGTAAGATTTGATTATGGTTTGATTAGACTTACTTAGAATTTAATTGGAGTTTTGTTAGGATTTCTTTAGGCTTTAGTTAAAGATTATAGTGTAAGGTATAATTAGGATTTAAGAATTAGAATTTTATTAGAATTTGACTAAGATTTCTTTAGAGTTTTATTAAGATTTGGTAAGAATTTGGTTAAAATTTCATAATTTTTTTTTTGAACTTTATTGAGATTTCATTATAATTTTGTTAGGATTTGATTGAAGTATACTAAAGGCTATTTAGGATTTACTTAGAATTAATTAGAATATAATAATATATATTTAGAATTTTTTAAAGATTAATAAGATGTATTTAGAATAATTAAAAGCTTATTTAGGTTGTTTAAGTTGCAAAAGAATTGTTAGGGACATAATCCTTAGAACCTTCTAGAGACAAGTTTCTAGAACCTTCTAGAAGCAAGTCTCTGGAACCTTCTAGAAGCTTCTTAGTTGGCCGAAGATATTAGAGACATAGTCCTTAGAACCTTCTAGAAATAAGTTTCTAGAACCTTCTAGAAACAAGTCTCTGGAACCTTCTAGAAGCTTTCTAGTTGGTAGAAGTTGCTTGAGAAGCTTCCTAAATAGAAGTATATATTGGAATCGAGGCTGAAGAATTCTTCAATCTCGACAACACATCTCTTGGAGCTCTAGCTCACCTCTCTGGTGTTGTTCTCATCTGATTAATCTAGTTCTTGCCAGTTCTTCTTGAACTTCTTGTTAGTTCTCGAGTGTGTATTTCTATGTCCGTGACAATTTGTCGAGACTGCACTCACCTCAGATATCAGAGCTAATTTCTTCTTTGTTAGAGTGTGGATTATCCCTCTGCTTGGAAGTGTACTAGCATTTTTAGAGGTTGCGGATTACCCTCCTCTAAACTGATACTTCTTTTATTACAATATTGGAGACTTATTCTTCTTGGAAAGAGTGGATTACCCCTTTTCTTGAAGCTCTTAAGGCATTTTAGAGGTTGCAGAGTACCCTCCTCTAAACCAATATTATCTTCTTGTAGAGTCATTTCTGTCCTTCTCTTAGAATGGCCGGGGGCCAAGACATTAGTATGACGGAAAGTTCGGAGTCCAAGTTAGATGCTATCATGAATGCCCTCTCTACGTAATCGCAAAAAACTGCAGAGATTGAAGGAGTCGTGGCAAGGCTTCATAATGATGGAGCATCTGGGATGGCACAATCTAGGTTGCACTAGCCTCAAACTTCTGTACTTGGAGAAGCAACTCTGCCTCAGGTTCGACAAGTACCGCTGATTCTACAACATAAGGAGCCCCGAGTTAGCCTTCCGGATAAGTTCGATAGTACGCGTTCTAAGTTTTGAAGATTCGTCAACCAAATCAGATTGATAACAGTTTTACAGCCCGAACGCTATCCAACGGAGGAGTCACGTATTGGGCTTACTGGAAGCTTACTTATAGAACAAGCTCTATCATGGTTTGCTCCTTTGTTTGAGAAACGATCGTCCATACTAAACAACTTTGAAACCTTTTTGGAGGCATTTGCGGAAGCATTTGGTGAACACGACAAGGTTCAATGGATTACAACAAAGATCCAGTCACGACGACAAGGGATGTGCTCTATATCAGTCTATGCATCGGAATTCAGACAATTAGCATGCGACATCAATTAGGACGAAGAAGCGTTGATGAGTCAATTCTATTGGGGTTTAAGGGATGATGTGAAGGATTTGCTGTTAACTCTTCCTGATCCACAAATGCTCAACGAAGCTATTAGCCAAGCTGTGAAGTGCGATAATCACATATTCCAACGCCACTAAGACCAACGTTCAAAACAACATACGGTTTGCCACGCCCCAACTATGTCACCAAGTAATGTGAATTCGCATTCAGAGGTAGAAGACATGCAAATTGATGCGGTACGCGTCAAATCCCTTACTCTAGAAGAAAAAAAGTGGCGTATGGAGGAAGGTCTATGCTTGTATTGCAGTGAAGAAGGCCACAAAGTTGGAAATTGTCCCAAGAAGCAAAATCGACATATTGTCAAGACTAGGGGTGCGTTTATTCAGGAAAATGAAGATGCCCAACTACAATAGGAATCGTGCGATTGGATAGTGAAATATCGCAACAACAACCAAGTTCCTTTCTTTCCGCTCAACTTGCCCTTTGTTTTATAATTCCTTTACTTATTGGCCCTCAGAAATTGAGAACGTTAGCATTATTAGATTCAGGAGCATCTACTTGTTGCTTAGACGAAGAATTTGTGAAGCATCATAAGATTCTTTTAGTACAAAAATCCAAACCTGTTCACGTTGAGGTCATAGATGGACGACCTTTATTGTTTGGTAGTGTCACCCATGAATCAGAACCTATAGAAGTGATGTTTAAGGGCCATATTAGTCATATTATTTTCAATATTATTAGAACCCTATCAAATCCTATTATTCTTGGTCTTTCCTGGTTGGAAAAGCATAACCCATCTATAGATTGGAAGTTGCAGAAGATGACCTTTTCCACAAAACCATCCAAGAGTAAGCCTAGTAGAAAACCCCGAATAGAAAAATCTTTATTTATTGGAGGAAGAGCGTTTATAAGATCATCCAAGGAAGGCACACCGTTTGTCATTTATGTGACTCCAACTATCGGGGAGAAGATCTCGACAACAAGTATACCAGAGCAATATAAGGATTTTAAAGACGTGTTTCAATAGAAAAATGCCGACATGCTACCAAAACACAGACCATATGATTGCACCATAGACTTACAGGAAGGAGCACAACCACCTTTTGGCCCAATCTTCAATCTATCGCAGACGGAGTTGGCGGAGTTGTGAAAGTACATCTACGAGAATCTAGCCAAGAACTTCATCCGTCATTCAAAATCGTCGGCTGGAGCACCCATCTTATTTGTGAAGAAGAAAGATGGCTCATTGCGGATGTACGTGGACTATCGAGGCCTCAACAAGGTAACAAAGAAGAATCGTTATCTGTTACCCTTGATTTTTGGTCTCCTAGAACAACTTGGACGTGCAATGATTTTTACAAAAATTGATCTAAGGGGAGCTTAAAATCTCGTACGAATTAAGGAAGGAGATGAGTGGAAGATAGCATTCCATACAAGGTATGGCCATTTTGAGTATAATGTCATACCTTTTGGTCTTACCAATGCTCCAGCGATCTTTCAACATATGATGAATGACATTTTTTGAGAGTACCTTGACGATTTTGTTGTCATCTATTTGGATGATATTTTGATATTCTCCAAAAATGAAGAAGAGCATGAAAAGCACGTTCGTTTGGTCTTAAAAAACTGCACGAACGAGGACTATATGCCAAGTTGGAGAAGTGTTTATTTCACCAAATAGAGATGGAGTTTTTGGAGTTCATTGCGACTACGGAAGGCTTGAAGATGGACCCCAAGAAGGTGGAAGAAATCATGTCCTGGGAGGTTTCAAAGACGGTGAGAGACGTACAATGCTTTCTTGGCTTTGTCAACTTCTATCGGAACTTCATCAAGAATTATTCTCAAGTTGCTGCTCCTCTCATTCGATTGACATGTTGTTAGGGACATAGTCATTAGACCTTTCTAGAGACAAGTTTCTAGAACCTTCTAGGAAGAAGTCTCTAGAAACTTCCAGAAGATTCCTTTAATATTCTCTTAGAATATTCTTTAAAGATTTCCTAAAGATTCTTTAAAGATTCTCTAAAGATTCCTTTAGAAGGCTCTAGAAGATTCTTAGAATATTCTAGTAGATTCTAGGAAGTTACTTGAGAAGCTTCCTAGCTCTTGGGTAGTTGCTCGAGAAGCTTCATAGTTCTTGGGAAGCTTCTTGATGCACTTCCTTAGAACCATAGGCCAATAGTATATATAGGAGTCAAGGCTGAAGAGTTCTTCAGTCTCGACAACACATTGTCACGGCCATAATCATGTAAGCTAATAATTACATATAGAAATAGGTAGAAGTAAGTAAAAGTAGATAAAATTAAGTTAATTCTATAATATTTAATATAGAAGCTTCCTAGAAACTTCCTAGAC